AAACTGTCAAAAATAAACCGAAAGTAAACATCTTGTCAGCTACAGAAGAGGCACTTCAGGATATCAGAACTTGACTCGCGATCTCGAAACTCGGCTCAAAAGCAGGCAATTAAGCTAGAAGAGATGCAGAAAAGCAACAAGAGTATCTGCTCGAGATAGAAAGACTAAAACGGAAGTATCTATTGTCGGGCGCTTTCAAATGGGAGCCTCGGCATCAACACCGAAAAAAACATTAAGACGTCATACTTTTGGAGACTATGGCAACGTATCACCTAAAAAGCATCCCTACGGTATATGCCATTGAAAAATTATCCACCCGAAGAAGAATCATCCGGACGTGAAAATGAGGCCTATTCAAAAAGAGACATATGAGGAGGCACTAGCCGAAGCAGAATCTGTGATAGCTGAAGACGTGCCTGCAAGTGTGCTTAAAAGACAACTCAAAGAACTGGAAGATCTTTCAATGTGCTTAGAGAATTCACTAAACTAGATAATCAGCTGGAGATTTTGGACCTGAGAAACAGCTCACAGAAGCCAATTCCTAAAATCGATCGTTACAGTCAGGAACTCCGCCAAGTAACGGATGCGTACAATGAAGAAATAGAAAGGGTTCAAAAAATTCTCAAAAAGCGCAAGAATTTCATCGACTTGCAACACAGACTCGATTTTCTGGAAAAAAATTATAAAAAGACTAAAAACATACGAGTCAGAAATAGAGATGCTGCGTAGTCAACTGAAGAACCTAGGAAGATCAGAGAGCCTAAACTATCTCTTGAAGCTCAAAATATTGAGTCAAAAAAGAAGGTTGCAGACTTAGAAGCTATGCTTGACGCTGAGTACGAAGATATGCAAGTTTCTTTAAGTGCTGCTACAACAAACTGATGTAACGATGTCACACATTGCTGACTGTCAAGATGAAATTGGCTTCCTAAAAGAACTTGAATCTAAACTGAGAAATGACGCCAAAGAGTCTGATGGACGACAAATATTATTTACCTGAACTAAAGTCCGTGGCAACCATTTGGAAAATATAACCCTGTGACTCGAGAAATGCAGATAAATTTCTCCAAATACGAGAAATTTTCTAGACACTCATAGAGAACTGTCGAAATTGTTATATTTCGGGTGAGTCCCCTACAAAATACGAGATGCTCGAGGGCCGATGTCCTTCCTGTGCCTACAGGAAAACTAAACCGAATAAGTATGGACTGATGATGCAAAGACTCACCACTACCTGCCAATACTTCGTCTATACGAACAGAAATATCACAGCAGATGACTGGTTCACGTCAGTAGAATTACATGTAGAATTGCGAATCAACCAACTGACCTATGTCGGCAGGAAAGCGTAAAAATAAGTAACAAGTACCCCAACATGTAGTTCCAATAGGAAGGAACACAGCCAGGTACTTCTAAGGTTTATGTTCACTAGCACTACAGCCTTAGAGTAGTATCTTCCAAACCAAATACACATGTTCTCGTATAGCAATCTATGCAGCATGATAACAAAATAGTAGAGGAATCAAAGAAACCTGATAAGATTCTATATTATTTTATAACACTATGAAGGCGGGGGGTAATGCATTAGATCGGAAGTGTGTAATTACAATACGGTTAGAGAACGAGAAGATGGCCTTGTGCTATTTGGTATCCAACCAGCTTCTGTAAATTCCTTTTTTTTTTCAGTCTGGGACTGAAAGTTCCATTAGGCGACGAAATTTTATTGTTCCCCTGAGGCAACTCTAATTTAACTTCGTATGAGAGGACGTTTATCAGATCCAAGACTTCCTAGGGAGCTTCGTTCAGCCATGCAAGAATCCTAAATTACCAACGACGAATAAAGTAAGCCGTCTACTTCTCAGCCCAGAGTTCTCGATCCTGATGCAGTTGTTAAAGGAAAAAACGACGTAGGTGTTACATGACAATACAAATGAAAAAAATGTTCTACAATCTGTAATAAGTATGTAAAGTCACAGCGCACTTACATTGTTTCGTGAAAAGTGATAAATGTTAATTATTGTATGTTTCCTTATACGAGAAAGTATTTGTTTTTGTTGTAGAATATCAACACCAAATTATGTTGTTAAATGGCCCATTTTGTTAGTTTTTTTATGTCATATTACGTTCAAGTTTCGAGGATTATATTTATTGCATTACTCATCTTCAATGGGGTATTTTCGTTTTTAGACAATAAACAGTTTTCATGTAAGAGTTCTTATGCGTACAAACCTGTTGTACACATGGCTAAAAACAGTAATGGCATTTCAGATGTTGATAGTAAGATCCGGTGGATAACCTGTTTTGCGAGATTAGACGTGGGATTTCCAACACGAACACCATCTGTTTATTTGAAGCATTAAAAACTGTAATAATCAACAATTTCAGTTTTCCATTGACAATAATGAAGAATTATGAAGGCGATTCATGTAAGGCACTAGGTAACTTCGCGTTGCTTTTAGAAGAGTATTGTCTGAATAGACAACAGTTACCTTGTGATTCTTCACCGAGCTGCATTTTTCAAGTTGAAAAATCGGGTGCTGAAAGTGATGGATCTATAGATTTGTGAGAATTTGCTGCTGCTTCAACTTCTTTTTGTAATAACAATAACAGTCTATATGAAATTTAACAATTCTGTTTCTTCTTTGATTTTGAGTCACCCTGTAAATGTAGCTCTACTAAACTATCGGACCGCATTCATAGCCTACAAGAGAAAAAAATCTTCTATACTGGAAAGGAGGAAAAAAAGAATGTATCAACCTGATACATCTGCCCCTCTTTATAACCCGTGAAATAGCCCTAGTTCTAATTAAATTTCAGTTCAAGCTTCCAAAATGACTTCCAACAATATTAAAGTAGCCACAAAGATCAGACCAATGATCCACCGCGAAGTAGCCGATGGTCTAGAGCGTCTTTGGAACGTAAGAGTAAACTGCATATGGGAAGCCGATGAAAGTAGTCGCCATGGAGAGGTTTATATATTCGACCATGTATTTAATCAGGAATGTACAAATTCAGATGTATATGGATCTGTAGTAAAACCTTTAGTCGATTCCTTCATGGAAGGTTTCAATGCCACAATATTTGCATATGGCCAAACATCTTCTGGCAAAACACACACCATTTTGGGCAATAAAACAGATCCTGGGCTTTTCCAATTAGTATCCAATCAGTTATTCCAGCATGTGGCAGACCAGGTTGATAAGAGGTACTTGATTAGATGCAGTTATATTGAAATCTACAATGAAAAGATCAATGACCTCCTGGATAAGAGCAATCAGGGTTTAACTATGAGAAGATATCAAAGGAAATGTGCTGCTTGATGCAAGGGAAGCTGTCGTAGACAATGTTGATAAAGTTATGGAGAACATGATGCAGGGCAATAAGATCAGACGAGTTGCAGCTACTCGCATGAATGAGAGGTCATCTCGATCACACACGATTTTCCGGATTATTCTGGAGTCGAAAGATGCCAATCAGAAAGATGGACCTGTACATATAAGCTACCTTAACTTAATGGACTTAGCTGGTTCTGAGAGAGTTTCTCTGACGAAAGCTGCTGGTGAGCGTCTTAAAGAGGGGGCTAAAACAAATCTTTGTCAGTATTAGGAAATGTGATAAGGCAACTAAGCGAGGGGAAGGAGTTTATCAGTTATCGCGATTCGAAATTGACTAGACTGCTCTCACAGGCTCTTGCGGTAATGCCAAATCATTGATGATCGGGAATGTACTTTAGCTGCAGAGGAGGAGACTAGATCTACACCAGAAGTCGCCCAAGCACTAAAACTGTCAAAAATAAAACGAAAGTAAACATCTTGTCAGCTACAGAAGAGACACTTCAAGGATATCAAACTTGACTCGCGATCTCGAAACTCGGCTCAAAAGCAGGGCAATTAAGCTAAAAGAGATGGATAAAAGCAAACAAGAGTATCTGCTCGAGATAGAAAGACTAAAAACGGAAGTATCTATTGTCGGGCGCTTTCAAATGGAGCCGCGGCATCAACCAACCGAAAAAAAAACATTAAGACGTCATACTTTTGGACACTATGGCAACGTATCACCTAAAAAAGCATCCCTAGGGTATATGCCATTGAAAAATTATCCACCCAAAGAAGAATCATCCGGACGTGAAATGAGGCCTATTCAAGAAGAGACATATGAGGAGGCACTAGCCGAAGCAGAATCTGTGATAGCTGAAGACTGCAAGTGTACTTAAAAGACAACTCAAAGAACTGGAAGAATCTTTCAATGAGCTTAGAGAATTCACTAAACTAGATAATCAGCTGGAGAGTTTGGACCTGAAGAAACAGCTCACAGAAGCCAATTCTAAAATCGATCGTTACAGTCAGGAACTCCGCCAAGTACGGATGCGTACAACGAAGAAATAGAAAGAGTTCAAAAAAATTCTCAAAAAGCGCAAGAATTTCATCGACTTGCAATACAGACTCGATTTTCTGGAAAAAAATAATAAAAAGACTAAAAACATACGAGTCAGAAATAGAGATGCTGCGTACTCAACTGAAGACCTAGGAGATCAGAGAGCCCTAAACCATCTCTTGAAGCTCAAAATATTGAGTCAAAAAAGAAGGTTGCAGACTTAGAAGCTATGCTTGACGCTGAGTACGAAGATATGCAAGATTCTTTAAGTGCTGCTACACAAACTGATGTAACGATGTCACACATTGCTGAACTGCAAAGATGAAATTGGCTTCCTAAAAGAACTTGAATCTAAACTGAGAAATGACGTAAAGAGTCTGATGGACGAGAGTAACCAACGTGAGGTCAACCACTCATTTAAAATCTCAGATATACGATGCCATAATGATTCTACTATAAAAGAGCTTCAGGATCAAATGGCTGAACTGGAATGCCAAAACGAAATCTGGATTATGAAAAGTGCCCCTCTTTATAACCCGTGAAATAGCCCTAGTTCTAATTAAATTTCAGTTCAAGCTTCCAAAATGACTTCCGACAATATTAAAGTAGCCACAAAGATCAGACCAATGATCCACCGCGAAGTAGCCGATGGTCTAGAGCGTCTTTGGAACGTAAGAGTAAACTGCATATGGGAAGCCGATGAAAGTAGTCGCCATGGAGAGGTTTATATATTCGACCATGTATTTAAGCAGGAATGTACAAATTCAGATGTATATGGATCTGTAGTAAAACCTTTAGTCGATTCCTTCATGGAAGGTTTCAATGCCACAATATTTGCATATGGCCAAACATCTTCTGGCAAAACACACACCATTTTGGGCAATAAAACAGATCCTGGGCTTTTCCAATTAGTATCCAATCAGTTATTCCAGCATGTGGCAGACCAGGTTGATAAGAGGTACTTGATTAGATGCAGTTATATTGAAATCTACAATGAAAAGATCAATGACCTCCTGGATAAGAGCAATCAGGGTTTAACTATAAGAGAAGATATCAAAGGAAATGTGCTGCTTGATGCAAGGGAAGCTGTCGTAGACAATGTTGATAAAGTTATGGAGAACATGATGCAGGGCAATAAGATCAGACGAGTTGCAGCTACTCGCATGAATGAGAGGTCATCTCGATCACACACGATTTTCCGGATTATTCTGGAGTCGAAAGATGCCAATCAGAAAGATGGACCTGTACATATAAGCTACCTTAACTTAATGGACTTAGCTGGTTCTGAGAGAGTTTCTCTGACGAAAGCTGCTGGTGAGCGTCTTAAAGAGGGGGCTAACATAAACAAATCTTTGTCAGTATTAGGAAATGTGATAAGGCAACTAAGCGAGGGGAAGGAGTTTATCAGTTATCGCGATTCGAAATTGACTAGACTGCTCTCACAGGCTCTTGGCGGTAATGCCAAATCATTGATTATCGGGAATGTTACTTTAGCTGCAGAGGAGGAGACTAGATCTACACCAGAATTCGCCCAAAGCACTAAAACTGTCAAAAATAAAACGAAAGTAAACATCTTGTCAGCTACAGAAGAGACACTTCAAGGATATCAGAACTTGACTCGCGATCTCGAAACTCGGCTCAAAAAGCAGGCAATTAAGCTAAAAGAGATGGATAAAAGCAAACAAGAGTATCTGCTCGAGATAGAAAGACTAAAAACGGAAGTATCTATTGTCGGGCGCTTTCAAATGGGAGCCTCGGCATCAACACCGAAAAAAACATTAAGACGTCATACTTTTGGACACTATGGCAACGTATCACCTAAAAAAGCATCCCTAGGGTATATGCCATTGAAAAATTATCCACCCAAAGAAGAATCATCCGGACGTGAAATGAGGCCTATTCAAGAAGAGACATATGAGGAGGCACTAGCCGAAGCAGAATCTGTGATAGCTGAAGACGTGCAAGTGTACTTAAAAGACAACGCAAAGAACTGGAAGAATCTTTCAATGAGCTTAGAGAATTCACTAAACTAGATAATCAGCTGGAGATTTTGGACCTGAAGAAACAGCTCACAGAAGCCAATTCTAAAATCGATCGTTACAGTCAGGAACTCCGCCAAGTAACGGATGCGTACAACGAAGAAATAGAAAGAGTTCAAAAAAATTCTCAAAAAGCGCAAGAATTTCATCGACTTGCAATACAGACTCGATTTTCTGGAAAAAAATAATAAAAAGACTAAAAACATACGAGTCAGAAATAGAGATGCTGCGTACTCAACTGAAGAACCTAGGAAGATCAGAGAGCCCTAAACCATCTCTTGAAGCTCAAAATATTGAGTCAAAAAAGAAGGTTGCAGACTTAGAAGCTATGCTTGACGCTGAGTACGAAGATATGCAAGATTCTTTAAGTGCTGCTACACAAACTGATGTAACGATGTCACACATTGCTGAACTGCAAGATGAAATTGGCTTCCTAAAAGAACTTGAATCTAAACTGAGAAATGACGTAAAGAGTCTGATGGACGAGAGTAACCAACGTGAGGTCAACCACTCATTTAAAATCTCAGATATACGATGCCATAATGATTCTACTATAAAAGAGCTTCAGGATCAAATGGCTGAACTGGAATGCCAAAACGAAATCTGGATTATGAAAAGTGCCCCTCTTTATAACCCGTGAAATAGCCCTAGTTCTAATTAAATTTCAGTTCAAGCTTCCAAAATGACTTCCGACAATATTAAAGTAGCCACAAAGATCAGACCAATGATCCACCGCGAAGTAGCCGATGGTCTAGAGCGTCTTTGGAACGTAAGAGTAAACTGCATATGGGAAGCCGATGAAAGTAGTCGCCATGGAGAGGTTTATATATTCGACCATGTATTTAAGCAGGAATGTACAAATTCAGATGTATATGGATCTGTAGTAAAACCTTTAGTCGATTCCTTCATGGAAGGTTTCAATGCCACAATATTTGCATATGGCCAAACATCTTCTGGCAAAACACACACCATTTTGGGCAATAAAACAGATCCTGGGCTTTTCCAATTAGTATCCAATCAGTTATTCCAGCATGTGGCAGACCAGGTTGATAAGAGGTACTTGATTAGATGCAGTTATATTGAAATCTACAATGAAAAGATCAATGACCTCCTGGATAAGAGCAATCAGGGTTTAACTATAAGAGAAGATATCAAAGGAAATGTGCTGCTTGATGCAAGGGAAGCTGTCGTAGACAATGTTGATAAAGTTATGGAGAACATGATGCAGGGCAATAAGATCAGACGAGTTGCAGCTACTCGCATGAATGAGAGGTCATCTCGATCACACACGATTTTCCGGATTATTCTGGAGTCGAAAGATGCCAATCAGAAAGATGGACCTGTACATATAAGCTACCTTAACTTAATGGACTTAGCTGGTTCTGAGAGAGTTTCTCTGACGAAAGCTGCTGGTGAGCGTCTTAAAGAGGGGGCTAACATAAACAAATCTTTGTCAGTATTAGGAAATGTGATAAGGCAACTAAGCGAGGGGAAGGAGTTTATCAGTTATCGCGATTCGAAATTGACTAGACTGCTCTCACAGGCTCTTGGCGGTAATGCCAAATCATTGATTATCGGGAATGTTACTTTAGCTGCAGAGGAGGAGACTAGATCTACACCAGAATTCGCCCAAAGCACTAAAACTGTCAAAAATAAAACGAAAGTAAACATCTTGTCAGCTACAGAAGAGACACTTCAAGGATATCAGAACTTGACTCGCGATCTCGAAACTCGGCTCAAAAAGCAGGCAATTAAGCTAAAAGAGATGGATAAAAGCAAACAAGAGTATCTGCTCGAGATAGAAAGACTAAAAACGGAAGTATCTATTGTCGGGCGCTTTCAAATGGGAGCCTCGGCATCAACACCGAAAAAAACATTAAGACGTCATACTTTTGGACACTATGGCAACGTATCACCTAAAAAAGCATCCCTAGGGTATATGCCATTGAAAAATTATCCACCCAAAGAAGAATCATCCGGACGTGAAATGAGGCCTATTCAAGAAGAGACATATGAGGAGGCACTAGCCGAAGCAGAATCTGTGATAGCTGAAGACGTGCAAGTGTACTTAAAAGACAACTCAAAGAACTGGAAGAATCTTTCAATGAGCTTAGAGAATTCACTAAACTAGATAATCAGCTGGAGATTTTGGACCTGAAGAAACAGCTCACAGAAGCCAATTCTAAATTCGATCGTTACAGTCAGGAACTCCGCCAAGTAACGGATGCGTACAACGAAGAAATAGAAAGAGTTCAAAAAAATTCTCAAAAAGCGCAAGAATTTCATCGACTTGCAATACAGACTCGATTTTCTGGAAAAAAATAATAAAAAGACTAAAAACATACGAGTCAGAAATAGAGATGCTGCGTACTCAACTGAAGAACCTAGGAAGATCAGAGAGCCCTAAACCATCTCTTGAAGCTCAAAATATTGAGTCAAAAAAGAAGGTTGCAGACTTAGAAGCTATGCTTGACGCTGAGTACGAAGATATGCAACATTCTTTAAGTGCTGCTGCACAAACTGATGTAACGATGTCACACATTGCTGAACTGCAAGATGAAATTGGCTTCCTAAAAGAACTTGAATCTAAACTGAGAAATGACGTAAAGAGTCTGATGGACGAGAGTAACCAACGTGAGGTCAACCACTCATTTAAAATCTCAGATATACGATGCCATAATGATTCTACTATAAAAGAGCTTCAGGATCAAATGGCTGAACTGGAATGCCAAAACGAAATCTGGATTATGAAAAAGGACGACGAAATCAGAAAATTGCAACAACTAATTACAAACCCGAAGCAGGCTGGCACTTAACCAGAACCACCTGTGCAGGAAGACGTTGCATTTTATAGGGAGCAAGTTGAGTTCTCCCAGAACATGTACAAAAATGAGATAATAGGTGGAGAGTTACGTATAAACCATAGAGAAAATCTTCAGGCAGTTAAACTAGAAATATGTCTACCCTTGTTTAGTGTTTACGATTATTGCAGGGTTTGGACAAAGTTTAGGGCTGATCCCAGTGCTCACAGTGTACAATTTTCAGCTAATAAATCTTGAATTCTGAGGTAACAAAATCAACTAGAACTCTGAAAAAGTGATTTATCAGAAATCATGCCCTTACTTCCATGATAAGAGGGATTCGTAAAAATTATAAGCAGGTTGTGGCTTATTATCTAGTAAAAGATACAAGAATCCCAGATCTGAAAACGATTATTGTTCATGTGATCACAAACTAGCAGCGACTTGGTTTGTGCGTTGTTGGCACTATTTCTAATCAGGGCGCAACGATCAAAAACGCACTTGAGACGATTTGCTCGGAGAATACTCACGGATCAAGTCCATTCCATTTTATAGTCAATGCTCAGAGTATTTCTACAATTTGTGATGAACCACATTTATTCAAAAATGGATGAAATGCTCTTATTGACATTAATATGAAAGTGAAGAAGCTGCACAGATTGAACATGTCTAGAAATCATATAATGTTGATCAGCAAACAAGACCATACAAAGAGCTATGTAAATTGAAACCCAGCCACTTTGATTTTATAGATTCGTTCAAGAATATAGAAATTAATCCTTTAATGATATCGTCGGATGATTCGAGCTTTCTCAGTTATGTGGTGGGGGTCCCGTGACTTCTCATACGGTATGAGCACGTATACCTCAAACCACAGTTTAATTTAAACATCACAATTGTTGGTTTGTTGACTTTGCGGTCAAATTTGATCCGAGGATGTCAGTTGCGTGTACGATTTGAACTTCCTTCACAATGGATTTTTTCGTTGTTGACGGATGAACAATACACTATAGACTACGCCGAGGACGACGCTGCTATCGATCAACCTGAACAACTTCCTATGGGCGACCTCGCTATGCCTATGGAAAAAACATGTACAATTGGTCAAAACGAGCGCCTGCAACTGGTCGATTATTACGCATTTACCTGAACTAAAGTCCGTGGCAACCAATTTGGAAAATAATAACCCTGTGACTCGAGAAATGCCGATAAATTTCTCCAAATACGTGAAATTTTCGAGACACTCATAGAGAACTGTCGAAATTGTTATATTTCGGGTGAGTCCCCTACAAAATACGAGATGCTCGTGGGCCGATGTCCTTCCTGTGCCTACAAGAAAACTAAACCGAATAAGTATGGACTGATGATGCAAAGACTCACCACTACCTGCTCAATGCTTTCGTC